GTGTTCGAAAGTAAACGGGTATCTCACCGATCTTCTTCACTGCAAAGTGTCTAGCCCTCTCCCCTATACGAAATCCTCTGCGACCTTGTTCACCACCTGGACGAAGGAGGTCAGGCTACCGCTGGGAATTCACGTCGATGACCAATTCCGACGGTGAATAACCCCAAAATACTCGGAGTAACATTCGACAGCCTGCTCTCCTTCTCTGCGCACGCAACCGCTATTGTCAAGAAAGTACAGAGCCGCAACAAGGTCCGCAAGTCGCTATCCGGCAGTACTTGGGGCATAGACAAAGAAACGTTGCTGGCAACATACAAGGCAATAGGCCGGCCGGTTTTAAACTACGCCGGGGACTAGTAGGACGCAGTGGATGAAGCTACAGACAGCACAGAACACCGCACTCAGGACAGCGACTGGATGCCTCCTGATGTCGTCTGAACACCACCTCCATGACGAGACGAAAATGCTCCCAATCAAGGAGCATAACATAATGCAAGCAGTTTCTGGTTGGGAGCCACAGATGTGGCCAACCAAACAGACAGCTGCCTGCAGAGGATCCCTCGGCTAGGCATGTCAGGAGGCATCTATACGAACTGACGGACGAAGTCCAGAGGTTCCTTAAGCAGCCTCTGGACCCGTCAGCATACCGACAGGACCTGAACGGCATTCACAGGGACTCAGTCTCGAGTTATGTAGACTCTAGACCTGTGAATGCCGTTCTAGGCACACAATCACCGGACATTGACGTGACGGGGCTTCATCTGCCTCGGGAGACAAGAACCACAATAGCCCAACTTCGCTCTGGCTACTGCAGCAGGTTAAACTCATACCTGAGCAGACTGATTTCGGATGTGCCAAATGAGTGTCCGGCATGCGAGGGACCCCTCACGACTCGAAACATCTCTTCGCATGCCCGGAAAACCCGACAACCCTAACGGTTTTGTCCCTGTGGACCGACCCTGTAGAGGCTGCACTCTTCTTAGGGCTGCCGTTAGTGGAACTTGACGACAACGACTGAGATATCAACCGATCTGGGCTGGGTTGTTGTAGCCGCTACAACAACAACAATTTGTATCAATTTCTTTTTACATAGAAACCATCGGTATGGAATTGGCCAAGCGTTTACTAGCACAAACCAAAAGTGGTATAGCTATAGGTATGAGTGTATATCAGCGGGAATAGATGGTCACCAGTACTAAGTTTTACTTAGCAACCTTCCAAAAGAAAATAGTGCAACTTAATTTAAAAGGAAGGCCCATAAACTGGAATATAATAAAGGCAAAATATGTTAAAGGAAGCGCATTTATTGAAAATTTGTAAAAAATCAATGCGGCCGTTATTACTGCTAGCAGAATACTTTCTTATTATGTGGTACTAAAACTACTCGTCGGTTTGGACCTCTGGAATAACTACGTCGCCAATTGCCTCTCTTTTACGAAGATTCGTCAGTTATTCACATCAAGTATTGAAATGGCGTTCTGGGCTAAAGGCGCTGGCCAAATGCAGGCTTGCTTTGCGCGCCTTGCTGACTTTAATTTGCTTTGATTTACTTTGAAAACTTGTTTGGCTGAATGGCGGCTTGGAACACTGTCAAGGTAACCAGCTGTCTGGTTGAAAAGTCAATGTCTGTTCCCTTATATTAATAATTGTTTTCCTAGAAAACTCTAGAAAATTTATCAAAAACTTTCAGATTTATTTTTAAATCAATGCGAAATAATGTTTTTATTTAAGAGAAATGGTAATAATGATACATACATATGTATATCTACATTTACTAAAAAAAACTTTAACTTAAAAAAGCGATTTACTTGAAGAAAAGAGCTATAAGAAATTTTTTCCTGCAAATTTCGTGTGGGGTTGCAACTTTTTACTATAAGATAATGATATGGTAAATATAAATATGAAAACAACGAACCATTTTGATTTCATTTCGAATTGCTTACATTTTCTGTAACTTTTTTTAAACTAAGTAAGCAAATTTTTGTTTGAATTTATGTTTTTTGAACAGGAACATACCCCTTTGTCAAACGCTTTCAAATAAAACATTTGCCTATTTGAAACTTTGAGGCGCTTAAAGCAAGTGAAGAAAAGCTGCCATTTGGCCAGCCTTTATACGTTTTAGTACATTCCAAATAATTTTTGACACTTCCCGCAGCGAAGCAAGCAAAGCGAGCATGCATTGGGCCAGTACCTTAAGACTTGTGTTTGTTTGCTAAAGAACTCTTTTATAAAATATTTGATTTTTACTAAATTGTAGGATTATATACACTAGCGATCAAAACATGTACGACATTTTATTACTTACAGTAGCATAACTTTTTTAATAATAAGCGGATTACTTTGAAATTTTGAACAATTGGTCCTTATTATCCAATGAATAAAGCCTAGTATACAGAAATTATAAACAGGTGAAGTAATAAAACAGGTTTCTCCTTTATTCTCTTAACATTCGGCTATCTTATAGAAATTTTTAAAGCCAAATTATCAAATAAGATAGTGTCAAATATTTCTTCTCGCTCTGATTACTACACCTGGTATAATTTCACCATGAGCTTAAACAAAAAACAAGCTATTCACAGCAAAAACACAAGCCAACTCTATTCATTCAGTTTTGAACTTTTCTGTTTTGAGACTTTTGAAGGTTGATACCAACAGGATTGTGGATACTCCCTTGTTTTTAATTGCGATTTTCATACGTCATAGGGTATTGCTCCCTGGACGTGAAACAATTGAAGGGTATCGCCGATCTAAACGGGGTTAGGTTGCCGAAATAACAGCCCTTGGTTGGGTAAAACCCGAGTCATTCCGGTACATAGAACCGGCTGTCGTGGGAATGCACTCAGTTTTGATCGCCAGTGTATATACACTGCCGGAAAAAAGTATTAACACAGAGAATTTTTTACCATATATGCAATAAATTTTATTAAAATAAAGTGCAAGCTTGAAGTAGGTAGGACTTACCGTTGAATTTTGCCAATTTTTTTCACGCAGTTTCTTCCATAAAAAAAATTTTCGAAAATACTTTATATGGATGTGTATTAATATATCGATGGCTGAGTGGACGATCGACCTATCTCGGCAGCCAGTTCGAAAACGCCCTATCTCAGAAAATGTTTCAACAACGCTCTATCTCAAAAAACTTTTCAAAAACTCCCTACTTAAAGCTGATGCCACATAAAACTTTTGCTTCGATTTGCGTGACAGATTCGCTTTGATAGATAAGATGAACTGTATGAAAATGCACAAAGCATTCCACATAGATCATTGAAGCTGCAGCGCGAAGGGAAAAGATGGCCAACTCCCATCTTTTTGCGCGCTTTGACAATCAGCCGGTTTAATATTTATTTTGTTTCATCCGAATTCGAGTTTTCATGTAGAAACATAAAACTTAAAGTACATTGCTGATATTTTTAAAGCTAAATATATAAAATCCACAGCAATTTTGACGAGTAAAAAAGCAGTACAAAATTGTTTTCTTGGCGTTCATTGTGGCATACCTTTTGCGCCTGGCGCTCTGCTGGCAAAGTTACAAATGTCACGCAGAGCCACAAAGTTTTATCTGGCATCAGCTTGAGAATTTGTTTGATAAACGCCCTATCTCACAAATTTGTTGAAGAACGCCCTATCTCAACTGCCGATTGAAAAACGCCCTACCTCAGCACATTTTCATTTGAGATAGGGAGTTTATGAACCGAATTCTGAGATAGGGCGTTGTTCAACCAAATTCTGAGACAGGGTGTTTTTCAATAAAATTCTGAATTAGGGCGTTTTTCAATCAAAATCTGAAGTAGGGCGCTCTTGAATAGTTTTGTGAGATAGAGCGTTTTCGAACTAACTGCCGAGATAGGTCGATCTTCTACTCAGGCATCGATATACATGTGCCGAGAGGATCGATCGCGTGTTTCTTATCGCTCTGTTAATGGTGTTAAAAAATATAACAATATTGCAAAATGTAAAGTTAATAGTTGCATTATTGGATTAATAGTGTGAAAAATTTAAACCAATAAGCAGAAATTCAAATAAGCAAAATTGATATTTAATAGCGCGTATTTAAGTTGATGTACGTACATACGTATGTATATACGTATATTCATCCAAACATAGCGGCTGCTGAGTGAGTGTGATGTCAGAATGCGCGAAATGCCGAAAAGGCGTCAGAGGAGAGTCGGGTGTGTGTTGTCAAGGTGTGTGTGGGAAAGTGTACCATAGAACGCAAGCATGTGCGTCGTTTATTAAACAACCCCTGGACCCGTCAACCTACCGACAGGCCCTGAACGGCATTCACAGGGAATCAGTCTCTAGTTATGTAGACTCCCGCCCTGTGAATGCCGTTCTAGGCACACAACCACCGGACGTGGACGGGACAGAACTTTATCTGCCTCGGGAGACCCGCACTACAATAGCCCAACTTCGTTCTGCCTATTGCAGCAGGCTGAACTCTTACCTGAGCAGAATCAATGAGGATGTGCCCATTCAATGCTCGGCATGTGGAGAGTCGCCACATAAATCTCGGCACCTCTTCACATGCCCTGAGAACCCCACTCAGCTGACGCCCCTGTCTCTATGGACAGACCCTGTGGAAGTCGCACACTTCCTGGGCCTCCCCCTAGCTGAAATGGACGTTGACGGATGAACCGACCCGAGCGGGGCTTAGTAGCCGCTACAACAACAACAACGACATGCTATAAAAGCCCTTGAAATTATGAAATTGTGATCCAGAATTTGCTGGGGCTTTTATACGAATGTGCTTCCCATCTAAAGCACCTAGCGTGTGTGGAAATTGCCAAATATTGTTAAAATCCGAAGCGATTTTCTACCATTCCATTTCGGTTGATGGAACCTATGCAGATATATCTATATATTGTAATGTTACCTTTATACTATTTTATCTAAGTCATATGTGCTGCCCTGTAGCTGTCACTTTAGATTTTAAGATATACTGAATGCCCTGTACTGAAAGGACGGCCATATTGTCTTTCTTCTTCCGGTGACGGAAAAAACGATCGGACGTGCCAATTCACCAATCAAAGGAATAAAAATCGGAAAATTTAAAGATAATCAAACAGTGTTTTTACATAGCGTTTATACCCTAGGGTGCTACCCTCTAACTGTTCAATTAGTATTTTACCGATCGAACAACATCTTACTACATTTTTTTGGAAAAGAAAGTAAACGCGGCCTAGCACGAAAATGCCTAACACACGGGCTACAGGTAAAACGACTGGAGTTAGCAGCGATTTAAAACGTTCCAGCGAAACTGGTGCTAACACCACTTCGACAATTAAGACAACAAAAGTTGGATCAGCCGCCGATATACAAACTGCAACTGCTCCCGCTGCATATAGTGCCTCCGCGGTACCTGCCTCCGCCTCCTCGTTGAATTTACTTCGGCTGTTCCGAATCCTGCTGCACCCGCTGTTCCGAACCCTGCTGCCTCCGCTGCTCCGAATCCTGCTGCATCCGCTGCTCCGAATCCTACTGCCTCTGCCGTTCCTGCCGGTGCAACCTCCGCCGAGTATGTGCTACAGATTCTGCCGCACAGTCTTCCACCGCTGTCGCAACAATTGCCACCTCTGAAATTAACGTTGGGTATAGCGTCACCGAGCCCAACGCTCAAGATTATGTCACCCCCGGCGTTTCAGTGTCCGCCGTTAGCCCCGCTGTTTGCTCCGAAACACCGATAAAAGCGTTCCCCTCTGATGAAATAAATAATCTCCAGGAGCAGCTGAAAATTTTAAAACTTTGACGATAACTGGCAGATCTCCAAGCTCAAGTCCAACAAACTGAAATTTATCCAGGCGTCCGTGTTAGTAAATACATATATATACTTTGATGAACTCGACGCAGCGGTCCCAAAATTCAGCGGCGACAACCATTATGATATTAATCGATGGTTTTTGCAATTTGAAGACTATGCCGACGCCAATAATTATAACGAAAGGCATAAGTGTCTAGCCCTTAGGCGATGTATGACCGGCACAGCCAAAGAATTTGTACTAAATCAAGACCTTGCAAATTATTCAACGCTGAAGTCGCTGTTGTGTACCATGTTTAGACGCAACAGTTCACGGCAAGAGGTCTTGCGTGAGCTATGCCGTTGCAATGCAGTCAATTACCGCCCAGTCGGATATACCGGAGCAAGAGCTGGTTGATCTGATAATAGATGAAATTCCTGACAGCAGCAACAACATAAGCATCTTGTATGGTGCTAGCACAGTTTGCGATCTAATAAGACGAATGGAGCGTTACGAGCAACGCCGGCAGAACATCGTACAGCGTAAGCCATCAGCCGTCGTGACATCACGCCCAGAAGCAAAGGCCACTGCCTACGAAGATCTTTCAGCCGTGCGCTGCTTCAACTGTTCGCGCTACGGGCCCTACCAAAGCAGCTGCCCAAAACCACAACGACCAGCGGGTTCCTGCTTCACTTGCCACCAACTGGGACACATGCGCCGAGATTGTCCAATGAAGAGGAGCCAGTCGACCAATGTTGCAGCCATCTCGCAGACTATAATTATTTAGAACCTAAGCAAGAGGTAAGTGTGGTCTTTTATGAGCACAGTCGAAACAGATGGTCAGGTTTTATAAATATTATTTCTCTTTTCGATTCCGGTAGCTCGATTAGTCTTGTGCAAAAATCGATTGCTGAACGCTTCCTAAAGTTACCACCTATTGCGAAGCCTACGAAGTTTGTTGGAGTCGGTCCCAGATGAAATATTAACCATACCAGTAATTCTTTGTCAAAACTTTTTGGAAAAATTTAATATTCACTTAATGAAAATAAATCATTCACCTGCTGAATTTAATAGCATAAAACATGTAACCTCGAAGAGAAATGAATTTAATAAAAAGAGAATCGTAAACCCTATGCATCTGATTCGATTATTTGTGAAACTGTTGATGGTGATTGTGTTGATGAATCGGTTAGTAATAAGAATAAATTAAACAAAATGTTTGGGAAATGCGTTCAGAGGCATGATGAGAAGACTTAGGAAAAGTGAACGACTATTCAGACAACGAAAATGATTTTTTCGGTTCGGCAGTGATGGAAATAGCTGCTATTGATGAAAGTGTAGTCCAATCTGAAATAGATATAGGGCCCGGTTTAAATAAACGTGAACAAGATGCGGTAATGCGAATTCTGGCTAGTGAATATTTATCTCCTACCTTGATTGAAAAGAGGCCCTATGACTATAGGATGACAATCCGAACGACTGATAATACCCCATTTCATTGTTTGCCAAGGCGATTATCCTTCAAGGATGAGGAGGAAGTACAGAAGATAACTGACGATCTCATTGAGCGTCAAATCATACGCCCTAGCAGCTCCCCTTATGCTTCGGCTGTCGTTTTGGTAAAAAAGAGGAATGGTGAAACCCGTATGTGCATCGATTATAGGGCCCTTAATAAGAAAACAATTCGGGACAACTTCCCACTGCCTCTAATAGAGGACTACTTTGATTATATGTCAGGGAAAAAGTGGTTTGCCCTTCTGGACTTAAAGGACGGGTTTAATCAATTAGCAATGGAAGAGAGTTCCATTCCGCTGACTTCTTTTGTAACACCACATGGACAATTCGAATATCTTAGGATGCCATTCGGGCTTAAGAACGCGCCAGCCAATTTGAAGCGATTTGTCTATAATATCTTTCGAGACCTGATAGATGCAAAGGAAGTCTGTGTGTATATCGATGATATACTAATAGCTTCTGACAACTTTGAATGCCATATCAAAACCCTTAGGAGAGTGTATGAGAAAAATTTGGAGTTAAAGATTAGAAAGTGCAAGTTTTGCTACAACGCAATTGAATATTTAGGTTACCGGGTCACTCCATCGGGAATACAACCATCGGAAACCCACATTAAAGCAACCTCGAATTACCCAGTCCCAAAGAATCAAAAGGAGCTTCGTTCCTGTATTGGTTTGTTTTCCTACTTCCGAAAATTCGTACCATCCTTTTCGAAGATTGCTAAGCCACTTTTAGATTTACTTCGCAAAGACGCCGAGTTCATATTCTCAGAACATTGTTTAAAAGCCTTTAAGGATTTAAAGGGTTTTTTAGTTAGTGCACCGCTGTTGGCAATTTATGACCGCAACCGTGAAACACAACTTCATTGCGATGCAAGCCGCCTAGGTTTTGGGTCTGTTCTACTACAAAAGCAAGATGATGGCAAATTTCATCCAATTGCATATTTTTCGAAGACAACTACACCAGCAGAGTCGAGGTACCATAGCTTCGAATTGGAAACATTATCAATCATTTATGCTCTTCTTAGAGGGTGTGCCATTTAAAATCATTACAGATTGTAACTCTTTAACTATGACCTTGAACAAAAAGCAAATTAATCCACGGATAGCCCGATGGGCACTAGAATTGGAAAACTTTGACTACTCTGTACAGCATAGGGTTGGAACCAACCTTGGTCATGTAGATGCTCTCAGTAGAAGCCCATTGCCAGAAAAGAAATACGACTGTATTAATTCAATCCTGAAGTACGAAAGAATTGATACTGCAAGCCCTCGGGGACTCGATCCTCTAAAGTCTCAGTTTTTATCCAGCTATAAGGGTTGGACAAGCAATAAAAGTAAATGCGAAGTTGTAGCTGCCGTAGACTTGGATGATGTGGATATTCAAATCCAAATTTCACAGAATCGGGATGAGAAGCTCAGGGAACTTATGAATAAATTAGAAAAAGGGGAAGTTATAGGATATGAACTCAGGGATGGATTGGTATGTCGAAGGAATGGGGGAAGAATTATGCTTTGTGATCCTTCAGGGCTGGAAGAAAATGTAATTCGCACAATACACGAGAAAATTGGTCATTTAGGCACAGAAAAATGCTACAATCAAATACGCAAAACCTATGGGTTCGAAAATATGAGGGATAAAATTAACTGGTTCATTCAGAACTGCATTAAGTGCATTATATATTCGGCACCAGCTCGTTCCAATGAGCATAACATGTTTAGCATTCCTAAAGAACCAATACCATTCGATACTCTCCATTTGGATCACTTTGGTCCTCTGCCAGCAATTAAGTCAAAACGTAAACATATACTAGTCATTATAGAAGCATTCACGAAATTTGTCAAACTGTATGCTGTGAATTCTACAAGTACAAAAGAAGTCTGTTGCTCACTAGATAAGTATTTCAACTACTAAAGTCGTCCACGACGTATTATCACTGACCACGGCACCTGTTTCACATCCCTTGAGTTCAGTGAGTAACTGTTGAAAAGAAATATAGGTCATGTGAAGGTTGCAGTCGCCTCACCGCAGGCAAATGGTCAGGCCGAGAGAGTCAACCGAGTTCTTAAAGTAATGTTGAGTAAACTCTCTGAGCGTGTAGAACATGCTGATTGGACCGTGAAACTGTCTCAGATAGAATATGCTTTAAATAATACTGTCCACAGTACAACCAAATACACACCAAGTGATTTGCTTTTTGGTGTAAGCCAGCGGGGCTGTATTGTAGACGAATTTACAGAATGCCTAGAAAGCAAATTGTTGGATGAAATCACTAGGGACCTTGAGGGAAGCCGACAGAACGCACTTAGGAATATCGAGCGCTCGCAAGAGTACAATCACCAATACTTTTTAAAACACAGTGTCCCCGCAAATACATACTCGATAGGAGGCTATGCAGTAATTAGGCATGTTGATACCACAGTTGGAACTAATAAGAAACTTATACAGAAGAATAGGGGCCCATATGTTATACACAAAGTTTTGCCAAATGACTGTTACGTTATAAGGGAAATAGAGAATTGCCAACTGACGCATTTACCATACGATGGTATTGTTGAGGCTATGAAAATTCGTAAATGGTGCTCGCCAAATAACGATCAGTCACCAACAGCAATAATAATAATAATCCCAATGGGTTTTACCCTCCATTCCCGGCCATCCGCACGAGGGGCGCAGTCCGCATGACGTACGGAACCAGTATTTTCAATTTTTGCGCCGAGTCACGATAGCCAGGGGTTTGTTAACAGGCCTATTCTGCTGTAACCGAACATTTTGTAACAAGCTAATTTTGTTACCAACAATTGTCACCACTTCTTGCAACCGCAATTATATTTACCTTGGTAATGATTTAATTTATTCAGCAATTCAGCTATGGAGTTTTGTGTAAATTCTGGTGTTGCATATTTCACGGGGAAATATTTTGGTACCTGCTCATGAGATGGTAACAAAATTTAATGGTTACAAGAGTGTGGAAAATACGAAAAGCGTTTAAAAATTGACAGTAACTTTACTAACCGGTAACAAAATTTTTGTTACCAACGCAGAATAGGCCTGTAAGTGTCAAGATCTAAAACTGTTCAGCTACAGTAGGGATGCACAGCAGAGGTGCACGCAGTCGACGTCGCGGGCAAACTGCGCGCACGCGAGCGTGCTAGGCGAGGTGAAGTGAGCTGTACGGAGATGGCATCGTATACATATTAACCACTACACACTTATTTTCAAGTAAAAATTTGTGTATGTATGTGTACTTTTGCGACAACTGAGCCAGTGTGGCATCAGGCCACCAGAAAAAGCCAATTTTTCCAAAACAAAAGCGCCAAGTTTTTATTATCATGTTTAATAATTTTTTTGATTCAGTAAAAAGTGTATATACATATCTATTTCCTCACGTTTTTATTAATAAATTAATTTCAATACATTTATAACAACGCAAAACATATTTAATTTACCTATTCCTCACATTTTATTCAGTAAATGAATTTCATCTGAATGTAGAATATTAGTGTATAGTGTATACATACATACATATGTACCTATGTATGCATTCGGTGTGCTTCAATTAAAAAAGCATCACTAAATACCGCACCAAGCATTGAATTCCAATTATTTTGGCTTTTTGGTTTCCCAAAAGCACTAAATTTAGTGCAAAATGCAGGACCTTGGCAACAGTGAGCTGAGCACATCAATGCTCAAACAGTGATGCCAGACCAAGTATTGAGTAAATGCGCTATGTATATTTTTCTTTTAAAGCAAAAGTTCTAATTGGCGAGGGTATTGATTTTTGGTTCTTACATAGAACACTGATAAGATTCACAAGCTTATCTTAGGACTTAATTAAAATAATCAACATTATTTGTAGACGAATATATTTGTGTTCGTATGAAATAGTAGCTTATGTCGGGAGGCTGGCTTTAGTAAAATGTACCATTTCCTATATTCTTTAAACCACAAGGATTTTTTTTATGAAACTATACGAATATTGACTTGCTAGCATCGCCATTAACATTACCGTCTTTTACGTTTATTTTCCAAGAGTTCTTCAACGACTCGGCGCCAGTGAGTCTTTCGCAATCGTATGCTGCGAATGGTTCATTATACTAAAGCCAGTCTTCAGACATATTCTATACGAACACAGATATGTATACTTCCTAATAGGCTTGTATAATGCCCAATACCCAAATCCCTCGCATGAGTTATTATCGGTAAAAAATTGGGTACGCTCAAATCTGGCATCGCTGCAGCTAGTACTGCGCCAGTGAAACAGTGTTGATATTTTAAGTACAATTGTACTTTTTTCAGTACAATTAATTTTAGAATGTACAAAAGTACAATTGCCGATTTTAAGAACAATTTCAACATCAAAAATACTTTTTGTACCAAACGCTCAAATGCTTGTAGCACTTTGATTCTTAATCCGTTTACATTTAAGTAAATGGATATACCTATATTTCATA